CTCTTTCCTTTCTTCCTGTATATCACAATTTGAGTGACCTCTTGGCACCAGATTCTGCTTTCACTTGCACTGGTTTCTAACTCCATTGGAGCTAATGAAAAAATGGCTACAAACTAATTTGGAAAAACAACTGTGAAATTTCACAAGCTAGTTCTTACTTTTAAGGATTCAAAATGGAGCCTATTTTTTCCTTTTTGGAAAACTTTCACTAGCTTTTTCCAAAAATCTTGTGCTATTAATGTGTGTGAATGATCATTGGCATTTTTTTGCTGACTGAAAATCCATTTTTAATCAAAAACAATGATGACATTTTCTGTTATGTCTTGACAACTACATGTTTTGGAAATACCAAAAAAACAAGACAAAAACCAAAAAACAAACCAAAAAACCCATTTTTGACAGGAGAATTTCAGTCACCTCTAAACTCCACCGACTTCCATGGGCTTTTTCCTGAGATACCTGATGTGAGAGGATATGTGTACCCATTTTTTTCATAAATCCTCATTCGATATCATTCAGACATACAACATAGAGATCACCCCTGATGTCTGGCCAAGTCCTTACATTAATTCCATACCAATTCTAATGTCTGAGCTGTTCTCTGTCCACACGGCTAAATTTTTCCTTCTGGCTTACCTTTTTAATCTTGCTGTTAGGCAACATTTTTGCCTTTTGATCCCAGAATAGCTAGCTATGAACACCTGGAACTTGAATCATACTTTTCTTGCTTTCATAAGTTTTGAGAAAATAGAGAAAATTGCCTGCTGTATGCACTGTGTGCTTAGTACTTTGTTTGTCAATCCAATTTACCTATTAAAGTGACTTTTGCAGGTGCAGTTCAGCTCCAGAAAAACCGAACTGTAAGGCAGGAACAGGTAAGAAAAAGACGGACATAATAGATCTGGGTAAAATATAAACCTGCAGCTTCTGACAAGACAAAAAAGAAGTTCTGGTCCTTTTTGAAGAGTAGCTACATGGAAGGATTTTATTTTTGTGGTTCAAACTTTAATAAGTGATTTCAGTGAGGGAAAAACGACTTTTAAAATGGAGCCCAGAGGTTCAGCATTCACTGTCTCCATTGCGGATAATGGAGTCCAGAGGTTCAGCATTCACTGTCTCCATTGCGAGACCAAAATTAATTTAGTTCACAAGAAAAATGATGACTTTTCTAAGCACTGGCCTGCTAGCTCTCATAGAGCTTGGAGTGAAGTTTGGGGTTTTTTTCATCATGTGCATCCTCATCAGTAAAAAGTGTTTCAGGACAAATTATGACTTCAGTTAAACTATTCAGAATAAACAATGCTTCAATAGAAACCTGTTCCTCCCAGAAGATATCCTGACTGTAGAACAATGCATTCACATGTGGACACTGGTTGGTGATTGCTAGAATAGCAAACTACTAATGAGTACTACTATTTCTGGGCCTCAGTTAAATGAGGTTCATTTAGGCTAAGTAAAGAAAGTCAAAAAGCCCAAGACTGAATTGATTTAGTCTTTGGAGTTTAGTCTAAGCTGCAGATTGAACCAATGAACAGACATTCACTTTTGATTCAGGGAATGCAGACACATGCCTGCAGTGCCCTAGCCAGAAGCCAGGGGGTGCTAGAGCATGGCTTTTTAGCGCACAGCTAGCATGGGCTGTGTTTGCTTCCTCTTTCTGCTGCCCCCCTCCACCCCCAAGTCTATAGGATTTACAGTCCAGAATCATACTAGCAAGACACTACAGAGTGCTCAACACTTCCTCTTCCTGCTTCCAGGTGCATCTGGGATTTGTACTCCACGGTCACAGCCAGCCTAAATAAGCAGGGCAGGGCAGCTCTGTACTCAGGGGAAGGGAAATTTAACCCCGCTTCCTGGTCCCAGACACCAGCTGAGGTTTGCCTGGGGAAGCCAGTGAGCCAGCCCCCACTGCTCTAGCTAGGGTGCAGAGGAGCAGGGCCAGCCCTGCTCTCTGGAACAGAAAGCACAGCCCAGCCCATAGCTGCAAAATGCTAGGATGCTGGGGGACTGTGATTTAACTTGAACCAGGAAGGGGCCTGGGACAGAAGTTTCAAAAAACAGTTTGACCCTAATCAGTTAAGCTTGATAGTATATTCAACCAGGTTTATCTTAAACCAGTTTCAGCGATTGTGAAACTGGTTTATGTGCACTGAACTTCTATTCTGTGATAGGTTTAAACCAGTTTCTAATCACTTTAACTTGTTTGTGGGTAACTTCTGTCCCTAGTCATATAGCTCAGATGTTAAGTGTTGGGTGCTGCTGGACTGAGGACCAAACCTCATGGCACTTCCTAGAGACTGATGACATAAGAGCCAAAAGAAGAGAGGGCAGGATCTTGCTCATTTTCATCACCCTGCTGTGAATACGCTGAAGTTACGGGTGTTGTGGTGGGATTGACCAAGTTTCAATTTCTCTCAGACTCAGGGACCAAAGTGATGTAGAACTTGCCTAAGATGAACACCTCAGCAAACCCACTGCACTAAACCCAAACCTGAACCTCTGCTTCCTTAAGATGTAACAGGAGCAAGATCAAACAGAAGCAAAGGCTGAAAAAAAAAGGAAATGCAAAATTCACATAATAAAATGAAAAGAGAAATGAGGAAGGAAAGTGTGAGACCACATTTGCACTTTGATTCTGTGCAGTTCCCCCTTTCCCT